CGTGAACAAGTTGAGGAGCGACTTGACTTTTATGACAAGGGTGTTGCACCTCGCAAAAACATTGATGTCATGAAATCTGCAATTGAGAGTACTCAAAGCAAAGGTGTGTAACTAAGAGAATATGGTCTTAAGAGTTTTTTACAGGACATCAATACAACCATCGGAATATACGTATTTTTGGTCATGAATCTGTCAAATTATATTGTATGAGAACTGGGATCAACCTTTGATTTGACATAAAATGTTGGTAGACTTGCTTTCTGGCGTGTAACTTTGATAGTTTACTTGTATGTAATAGATACAGAGATGGAAACAGAAGAAGCTTCGGGGAAGAAAAGCAAGAAAAAGAAATCAAAATCTGTAGATAATGGTGATGCTATGGCTGTGGATGAACCAGCTGCCACTGCAAATGGAGATGCCGCTGAGGGTAAATCTGAAAAGAAGAAGAAGAAGAAGGACAAGAGAAAATTGGATCAGGAGGATCAAACCATGGAGGATGCGAATAATGGACATGCCGAGGAGGATGGAATGGCCAAGAAGAAGAAGAAGAGCAAACAGGAGAATGGAGACGATCTACAGGCTCCCAGTGATGTCAAGAAGAAGAAGAAAAAATCTAAAAGTGAAGACAGTGACTAAATTACAACTAACGTTGTTCTTGGTACTCAAGGGGCTCGTGGATATCCCGGCTTGCTGCCATTATGTTGTTTTGACGATGTCTACGGTTTCCTTAGTAGGTTTTTATGTTATCAGCATAAACCATGTTCTAATGCTCTTTATGTAGTAGTAACCTTTCTAGTTGCACTCTTATCTTAAGTTGATAGAATATGAATGTCGGTGTTTTTGCGGATTCTGTCTGTGAACTCAAAGATCTAGACGTGCAGTCAATAGAAATTGCAGTTGAACGTAGGTTTTTGACAATGATTTTGTTATATAAAGCTGTTTGTGTTTATGGTTATATGCTAGTGCTTATCATGCGATTCATTTGGTGCGAGAAGCAAAGCTCGAAAGCTCGATTCCTAGCTGCTACTGGAACTCTGCCGGAAGTTCAGCAGCTAGACGAGCTAGGAAGAGCAGACGAGCAACCGATGGAATTGATTTCACATGGTTTTGTTTGGTGAATGCATGACTCAACCTGTGTTTCTCAAGGTGCTGTTTATGTTTCAATATTTGCAATTCCTTGTCATTCAATCCTCATGGAACAATTTCTTTTAAAGAAGTTAAAGTGTTAAAAATCAAAATTCTTCACTATTTTTTATTCTTTTTTTACATTTTCCATCTCTGGTTTTTCAAATTTTGACATTTTCTCTATATTTTACTAAGCTAATTAAGCAAATCATAATTTGACTTTACTTTTTAGTCTTATGTGTATTTGTAACCGAGAGTCACTGAATTTTCGATTACGGAATTTCCGTATATGATGATATGTAATATTGTATCAAGATGACTCATCGTGTATTTAGCTGCAATGCTATTTTTCCATTCAATTTTTTTTGACTTTTTCTCTATATTTTACTAAGCTAATTAAGCAATCAAAATTTGACTTTGCTTTTGTCCTTTTGACTCCTTATTACAATAATGCCTATTTACCCATTCATAATTTCTTACTTCAAATTCATATCCATTTGTTTTAAATATTATCTTATTCATGTCTGTTAGTATTTATTTGCATTTGTAACTGAGAGTCGCTAAATTACAGCGAATGATGACATCTAATAAGATGACTCATCGTGTAGTTTGGGGCCATTTGCCCATTCAGAATTTCTTATATTTCATTATCATAAACAAAAAAACAAAAGAAAAAAATTATTTATTTCAAAGCAGAACCAAGGGACAGGGGTAAAAAGGTAATTCAACAGACCTAGGTAGGTAAAACGGCTGCTTGAGTTCGAAGCATTGGAGGGTCCGAAGTCCGAACAAAGTACAACCACCACCCCACACCTTAAACACACAACCCAACTCCCTCCCTCCCTCTCTCTCTCTCTCTCTCTCTCTCTCTCTCTCTCTGCGCACTCTTACCGTAAATCTAGAGAGAGAAAACCCTACCCTAAAACCACAGAGAAACAATCAGCCATGGCGGGCAGCTCCGCGGTAGCAGCGAACCTGGAAGATGTGCCCTCCGTCGATCTCATGACCGAGCTCCTCCGCCGCATGAAATGCTCCACCAAGGCCGACAAGCGCCTCATTCTCATCGGTGACTCTATTCTCCATTAAAGCTCTTATTTTTTGTTCTTCTGGCTCTCAATTTCGGGTCAAGTTTTGATTTTTAAGAACAACCCAGATCCGAGAATTGCATGCTTTTGTAGATTCAAAGTCTGGTGTTTTTTTGTTTTTGCTAATTGATGTGTGAATTATTGTTCCGATTTCGGTTCTCAATCCTGACTGATCGGTTAGTGAGAAAATGTAGGAAAATCCCATCAAATGTTTGAAACAGATAGAAAATAACTAATGAAGAAGATAAGGTTGCTGAAAGTGGCTTGACTGATTTGGTTATTGCCCTTTTGCACTCGTGCTAATAAACCAAATATCGATTGGGGTTTCGGGATGTTTGATAGTTTGATAGTTTGATTAAGATTGTTTTGTTTTGTTGTTTTTCTTAAGATGTAATAAGATAGGGTGCTCAATTGTCAATTCATATCCGGTTCTTTTTCTCTTGCCATTGTATTCTATATTATGCAGCGAAATGCTGAGACATTCGTTTCCAAAGGATGTCATGATGGCGAATTCTGGCATGCCGGCATGCCACCTGTTAGTACATTGCATACTCATGTAGGTATCCCTGTGTGTGTCAATATGTATGTTCTAGATTCAGATTTTACCCCCACCTTTGCCTCCTCGAGAAGGAAGATGGGGAAAAACTATGAGTTTTGGATGTCTTTACTTTGTTGCTTCTTTCGGTTATGATGCATGAAGGACCAATTTGGTTGATGCTTGAAGAATGTTCTTACAGTTAGCAGTATTTCTATTGAAGGAATTCTTCTTCCTTTCTTTTCTTGAATGTTTTCATGTGTGTAATCGTACAATTTGTATGGTACAGGCCCACCCGGATCAGGGAAAGGTACCCAATCACCTATAATTAAGGATGACTATTGCTTGTGCCACTTGGCTACTGGTGATATGTTGAGAGCCGCTGTTTCTGCTAAGACTCCTCTTGGGGTTAAAGCTAAAGAGGCTATGGATAAGGTGACTCCTTTTTATATGTTGTTTTACCATGAATTTTTTTCTTTGGACTGTGTTCTTAACTCCTTATATCACGCAATAAATTTCTGATATGGTGTTATGTCACTCTATTCAGGGAGAGCTTGTTTCCGATGACTTGGTTGTTGGCATCATAGATGAAGCAATGAAGAAGCCTTCATGTCAGAAAGGTTTCATTCTTGATGGATTTCCAAGGACTGTGGTCCAAGCAGAGAAGGTCTGCATTCTTTGGCATCTGTGTATATGTTACAGTAGGTATATGTTCAAAAGTATCTTGTGTTTGTGTGCCCTTGCGCTCTAAAGAAAGGTTATATTTCTTTGAATGCAGCTAGATGAGATGCTGAAAAAGCAGGGAGCTAAGATTGATAAGGTGCTCAACTTTGCAGTTGATGATGCAATCTTGGAAGAGAGGATTACTGGTCGCTGGATACACCCATCCAGTGGTAGATCCTACCACACGAAATTTGCGCCACCCAAGGCACCTGGTGTTGATGATGTAAGGGGGCAATATCTTTCCTTTTGGTATTAGAAAAACATTGTGCATCCAAAAATATTAAAAGAGAGACGGGCAAGGATATTTGGCTAAAAAGGAAAACAGCATAATGTCGGATGTAACAATCAAGTGATTTAAAAATATTAGTAGCTAGTGTTATGTTAATTTGTTTGTATCATACTCTGCATGAGCTTCAATTATACTCTTTGGAAAAGTTGTGCTGAATAAGCATATGCTTCCCTTGCTTCTTGTTTTGTTCAAGGTAACTGGAGAACCTTTGATTCAACGTAAGGATGATACTGCAGCAGTTCTCAAGTCAAGGCTGGAAGCATTTCACAAGCAAACTGAACCGGTATGGCTTCTTCCTTACATTTGGGGAGGCAATAATTATGTGTGTTTTCTTTTTGAGGTGTCTTTTTTTACTTGCATGTTCTCCGTAGAACTGTAGCAAGTTGTCTATGATAATCTAAAGACCTGAGGCAGTATGTGCTTGAAATGTCTCATGGTTGTGCAGCGATATTTTAACCATTGTTTCTGAACTGATACTTCTGCGAATTGTTATATTATTTGTTCCGGTGCAAAATCCTCCCCGTTGCTGTTTTTTTATTTTAGTGTTGGATATTTTTTTTTCAAATTGCTTGTTTATTACACCATTTCATGTTTCGTATGTTTTCGTTTTGCTTCTCATTATTTTCTGTAACGGGGCTCGTTATTTTGATGTGCAGGTTATTGGCTATTATTCCCAGAAAGGCATTGTTGCCAATCTTCAAGCGGAGAAACCTCCTCAAGAGGTCACTTCCGAGGTTCATAAAGTGCTCTCGTCGTAGAACAGGGTCCCCTTGCCCCTTGGCTTGGATAATTTATCCAAAAGTCCTAGTTCTTTTTTCGTTCATTTGTTTTCTGACATACAATTGAATCCGCCGATTCTGCGCATGTTTTGTTGAATTTTATATTGATAGTACCGGCTGCTGTCAACTCGAGAGTTTAATGAGAGGAGTAACTTGTGAAATAAGAATTATGAATTTTAGTGGCAATTTAGTTTTGTTCATTACTTTGCTGCAGTGCCACCTCAATTTCTTCGTGCGATGTTTTTTCTCTATGTGCTGTTGCTTGTACTGCAAAGATTGCCGCTGACATAGCGCAATGCTTTTCTCAATGTGCTGTTACTTGATTAAACCGGACAGAAATGCGAAGGAGGAGCTCTCAAAGTTGAACTCTCCATGAACTTTTTGACACCTTGCAGTTTAGTGCTAATTCCTGTGCGAGCACTATAAAACAATTTGCAAAAACACGAGGTGGTAGAGAGTTGGCATAGCGGGAGGAGAGGGTTTCTCACATTGCGTACAGGTACACAACAGTGGCGGTAAAGTGAGAAAGTTAAAACACATAGCATAGCATAACATCATGTTATTGGTTAAACTTGCAATACGGCCGGTATTGCGTCCCTGGTGATGGTAAAATTCGTGACTTTGGCCTAATGCCAATAAGTCCAGCACTGCATGATACATTGCTAACCATCTTTACACACTGATGGTCAAACACGCCACGAGCAACTAGCAAACTCCTCGTATGAACTTCCAAAGGACGACGAAGACTGGAGGACCATAGACCTACGCGTCCACTTTAATCTTTGCATCCAGATGAGTGAACTCCTGGAAGAAGGCTTTGAAATGCTCGTATGAATGCTTCACATCATCAACAGCACACATTTCTCGTATGCTGTGCATCGACAGCTGTGGTGCACCTACATCAACTGTTCGTATTCCCACTCCACTTGCCAGAATGGGACCGATGGTCGAACCGCATGCCATGTCATTACGAACTACAAAGTCCTGCATTTGAAGCAAACTCTATGATATTAATCAAATTATTTGTATCAAATCGGCTCTCTCGCCGTAGATTGACATTAACAGAAAGTGTGCTCGGTTTCAGTTATTTAACTTTCACAGCTAGAATACAAATCGTAGGGAGAGGCAAAGTGTGCTCAGTTTCAGTTATTTAACTTTCACAGCTAGAATACAAATCGTAGGGAGAGGCTGACCTGGACAGGAAGGCTGTGATTCCTTGCTATCTCCCTGAATATTAATGCAGTGACGGCATTGGTTGCGTAGCGTTGATTTGCATTGTGTTTGATCACAAGGCCCCCATGAAACTTGGGTTGGTGATTCTCTTCGTGTTTGTCCTGAATTAGATCCCTCGGTTAATATTGAGCAAAAGTAACAGCACTGAGAAAATTATTAGTACATTGAACAAACATACCATATAATTAGGATGTAAGGCATGTGCCATGTCAGCAGATACAAGAAAGCTCCTCTGAATAGCTTTCTCGAGCAGCTTGGGAAACGAGAAAAAAAAAATCAGTGCAGTGTATAAAAAACAAACTTTCCCGATGAAAACATAGTTACCAGGGTAAGTCTTCAATAGTCCGGCTTTATATCCATTAGATTGACAAGTAAGCTAGTATTTCTTCAATACATTCCAGACCGTTTATTTTCCGCACTACTGAGTAGTCCGGACTATTACTGTAGTTACCAAATCCAATAGGGACAATACCATACAATTTGACATCAAAGAGTCACTACCTTAGAATCTGTTGTGAAGGAACTTGTAATTCGTGAAAGAGTATTCAACATGGCTGGAGACCCAGCGCCCTGGGCAGAATCAGATCCGACCTCCTCATGATCAAACAAAGCCACCATTCTAACACCAGACTCATCTTCAAGGTTGCTATCAGAAGATGTTGCATCTATCAATGCCTGGAAGTAAGCAATAAAGTAAGAAATAAGAATCAGCTGCTCCATATTGCAACAACATAGTACAATATACTTTAACGTAATACCAAACCAAAAAAAAAAAATATACGAAAGCATACGGGTAGTATACAGTAGAGAAGAGAACTAACCTACAACTGGAATCTTGACAGAAAGATAAAGCCTTAACAAACTTTAAAAAAGTTTCTTACCTTAAGAGAACAAAATGACATGCAAAGATTATCAAGCCTTCCTGAGAAAATAAATTCTTTTGCGGCACCAGCTATTATGCTTGGTTGAGTATCACATGCTTGCAATTCAAAATCAGATATATGTTCCGGTTCACATCCAAGCTGATCTGCAAGTAGCTGGAAGAAAGAAAGAGAAAATCAATATAATATTATAATCACCATAACAGCATACCCAAAGTTGAAACTGTACTCTTGTGCACCTACAGCACTCGGCTAGCGCGCAACCCCGCCCCGTTATGTTATTTTAGAATTGAACTTATTGCTGGGATCTAAATGAGTAATAGTTGTCTTATCATCTGCTAATTTGTTCATGTATATGAAATCAACCAAAAGGCCAACTGATTCTCCAAGGTCAAATAGAAAGCCTAGGTTCAAGAATTACTGACCTGTAGTAGAAGTGAGTGATGCTTCGATGCAATTGAGGTTGTTTTCTCATTGGATTTCTTCCCATCATTCTGAGCATCACTATTAGCCCCACCATCTTCAGCAACCACTTTATTGAGCTCGGCCTACAAAAAAAGTTTTTTTTTTTTTTGGTAAAAGAAAGCACAAGTGAATAGGAAGGAAGGAAAATTGACAATTCTATGATAAACTATGCAAGAAAATTCAGTAGTTACTCCACTTTCAGATACTAAATACCATCCTCGTTAGATCTAATGAGCATGGGTATAACAACGTCTATGATGTGATTCCAAGATTACCTTGACTGCCGTTGCCAAGACGGGAAGAAGATGCGTCTGTGCATTCACCTTGAATGCATCTTTAACATCCCTGCCAAAGGACGATGAAAATATACTTGAAAGTGAGAAAGCAGAAATAATTTAGCTAAAGAAAAAGAATCACTAATGCATATTAATTTCAGTATAAGTCATCATGCATCATAGCGTGATTACCTGTCTAAGTGAATTGCCAGAGTAGGGACCCGCATTATGGGCTCCTCAATTCTAACAAGTTTATGTGAATACGAAACAGAGCCATCCTTTTCTTCTGTCACTATCACCCTGCCTGCAATCGTCAAGTCACGGTCGAACCATGTATGCCACAAGCCACTACCATAAGTTTGGACACCCACTTCCAAGAACCCGCCTTTAGCAACCTGCACAAGCCGTCCATATTCCAAAACCGTTCAAATTTTTCCACACCATATCCATTTGTTAATTGTGATCATTTCAGGCTTATCAGCTCCTTTTCATAACAATCAAATTCAAATTCAAACAAATCGAGACAATACCTTGGAAACCGGTTTCAATTTGAGACAAGGACTATCAGTATGAGCACCAACTATATGAAATCCGTTTCCAGCAACATACCTATACATAAGCATACCCCATACACATTTTAGCTTTCCGAATAATTAAACCCGAAAAGATCAAAACTTTTTACTCCATCACCTCTCCCATGAATTTTTCGACATCAAACGAAGCTTAAATCAATGAAAACAAACAAGCAGGCTCGAATTAAAAGCGCTAAACAACGAAAAAAACTGAGCCTACTTTTTTCCGATTGCGAAAGCAACAATGGTGGAGTAATTCCTGGTGAAGAAATACTTTTTACCAGCTTCCAATTTCCAATCCTCCCTCTCCAAAACTTGCTCGTACCCCGCGCTTCGCAGCAGCTTCTTCGCCTCGTCTGCAGAAGAAATCGAACCAGATAACAAACAATTACCAAAAGCAACGAACTTTGGATTGAAATTAAGCAAATAAGGGGATTTGGGTTTTTACCGACGGCGTGGAAGGCGGTGGGGGCGGCGTTTAGGAAGCTGATGAGATCAGAGACGACGGAGTTTGGTTCTTGCTTTGCCATATCCGCTGTGCTGGGCTGAGCCGACTCGGTACGCGCTCTCTAAGTCTCCTAGTGATATAGTTCTTGTTCAGTGGATCGTTCTGACTCTGCGTGCGAATTTATTTGTTGAATCCCGGCAACCAGAATCGGTTTGCGTGCGAATTTATTTGCTGAATCCCGGCAACCCGAATCTGTTCGCGTGATCTATAAAACTTTAAACGGTTCATATTATAAATAATTCTGGGAATATCGCTTTTACACCGAATCAATTAAAACTAACATTTAGTCCCACTATAAAAACACATGAATGAAATTGATAAAAATATTATAAATCATCTATCTATTTGTTAGAATAAATTGACTAAATAATATTAGTTTTAATTTGTTTTTTACATAGATTCTTTACAGTGTGATTCATAATATCAATAGTTTTAATTATAAGCACAAAATTCTGTGATTCAAACATAAAAAATTTTGAGCAGAAGTTCCTACTCATATTTGAGTAGCCAAGCATTGTTCGTGCAAATTTACCCAAACCGACCAACCCAAAGTTGTGGTGTCACTGTTGCTCACGCGGGTGTGAATGGTTAACCAATGATAAGTTGTGAGATTGTCAGTAGTTTGTAATTTTAAAAAGAATTATGAGTACTACGGTCTGGTAGTATTCTTCTTTGCTTAGAAATTAGAGGTCTTAGGTTCGAGTCTCGTAAATGGCGAATTTGATACCAAATTAGGCTGTTCATAGTGTGGCTTAGCCGAATCCCACTTCCCCTAGTGTAAAAATATCGATGTACTAAAAAAAAAAATTATGAGCATTTGAGTAATGATTTGACCAATAATTGTTTACGTTGTGCTTTTAATTCAATAAAGTAGAAGATCCAATTGGTATTTCCCGCGGTGTGTGAATGATTGTTAATATCACATATTAACCAGGCGACTGTTGATAACTTATAATTAAAAGAATTATGAGTTTTTGATATTGTAACTTTTTGTATGCTTGTGTAATAATTTGGATCAATTTAATTATGAACTATCCAAATTGCCAACGACGCATCTTAAAGTTAGAAATAAGAAAACCTTGGGCATCAAAGATAATGGAAATGAGTGACATGGGATCCATTTGAAGAATCATATAAAGCAACAAAAGCACTTCGTACTAAATATATGACATATGCTAGGTAAATTCGCCTAAAAAGCGAGCCTCAAGCCACTCGCTGGACGCATGTTTTGTATACCTTAACAATTAACATTCATGTTTGGGCTCGCTAAAAAAAAAAAAAAAAATGTTAACCTTGTTCTCACTCTTCTAACTTCTCGTCTCCCCAACAGATGAACTCAAACAATCTCTCTCTTTTCTTCTCTGCCATTCCAACACGACGTCTATAGATTCTCAAAGAAATATAGAATTTAATTTTTGAACTTGCTTCTTGATGGAAATGTACAATTTTTTATGAGTAAATTACACAGTAATCCCTCAGGTTTGAGGTCTTGCACAAACCCATATAACATTTTTAAAACATTTCACTTTTATACCTCACATATCATTTTATTTCAAAATAATACTTTCGTTACACTTTTCATCTATTAATCTGTTAAGTGCTGACGTGGCTACTAAATGTGTGCCACGTGGCAAATTTAAAAAAAAAAAAAACCTAAATCTTCTAACTATTAAAAAAAATAAAATTGAAACCTTCCCTCATCCTCCTCTCTTCTCCCCGCAACCCGCAAACCCATATCCCCCATCTTCATCTTCTTGCCTGCAACCTAGAAAGAAAAAAAAAAACCTAGGTTCGTGAGGTGGAATCGGGTGCGAGGGTAGGTGCAGGGGGAAGATGAATTGGGTTGTTGTTGTTGGGTTTTTTTTTTTTTTTTTTTTTCCGGGTTGCAGGAGGGGTTTTGGGGGAAGAAGAGAACATGGAGGAAGGAGAAGGTGAAGGAGAAGGGGGAGGGAAGGTGAGTGCAGATGCGGGGAGAAGACGAACTGGTTGCAGGATTGGGGATCTGGGAAGGAAGGGTCGCGGGTTGGAGGGGGTGTGTTCTGGTTTAGGGGTGGGGAGCGGGTGGGGTGGGGTGGGGGGGGGGGTACGGGGGTGGTTTATTTCAGTTTTTTTTTTAATTTTTTTTCTTTATTTAGAAGATTTAGTTTTTTTTTTTTTTAAATTAATTTTTTTTGCCACGTGGCACACATTTGGCAGCCATGTGGCAGCCACGTCAACACTTAACGAATTATGGATGAAAAATGTAATGGAGGTATTATTTTGAAATCAAATGGTACGTGAGGTATGAAAGTGAAATGTGTTAAAGATGTTTTATAAGTTTGTGCAAGATCTCAAACTTGAGAGGTTACTGTGTAATTTACCTATTTTTTATTTTAATTCTCTGTGAGAATCTGCATCCACCACCTAAAACGCTCAATCTCTGCAGATGTTGGTCCTCTAATGGCCGACCATGGACATTCAATCCCTAATCCAACTTTCTTTATCAAGAAAAATAAAAGGAGCAACAAGAAAGACCCATGAAATTAAGAATCGATGTCTACTATGATCTTAAGTGTTGGTTCGGATGTTCAACAATTTTCATCTAGGATCCATGGTGACCGACTGGAATTTTTACAATTGTTGCCTGTGGGTTCATTGGGCCGGAAAGATGAGACATGGTAGAGAAGAAGAGAGAGAAAGATTGTTTAAGTTCATCGACATGGGCGGAGCCATGAAAGGATCATAATGGTCTCGAGCCTACCTGACATTTTTTCACACAAAAAATTAGAATTATTCTTATGATTTTCAAAGATTTTTCTTAGGATTAGGGCTCCAACTAAAATTTTTTCTTTATTATTTTCACTGGGTTTGATTTGAGGCTGGTGACTCTTTTGTAGTTAACTAGCGACACTGTGAGTTTTGCAGAACTTAGGTGATCAGGATTCAGAAGAGAGAGAGTAGGTGAGATAGTTGGTTTTTATTTTTATATTTGCTTTATTCTCCTTCTCATTCCTTCCATCTTCTGCTTGCCATTTACAAGAACTTTAAATTGTATCTGAGTCATGATACTAGGCATGAGAGTTGAGTTGAGGAAAACAATGACAAGAACGACATCACACCAAACCCAAATAATGGTGGTCGTAGCTTAGGACACGACACACCCCAATTTTTCTTATATCAAGAGAGTATTTTAGGGCGAGATTTTAAGGCTCCTCCTGAGCTACTGTTCATCGGGTTGGGGAGACGAGAGGTTGGAGGAGAGAGAGACCAACTTTAACATTTTTTTTTAGTAGACCTAAATAGGAATATTAATTGCTGAGTAGAAAAAACACGCGTCTAGTAAGTTGCTTGAAACTCACTTTTAAGACAAGTCTGCCAAGCATATTTCTATATATAGAAAGAGAGATATAGGACATACATGAGAATTTGTGAAATTTTAAACTTAGTCCACAACTCTTTACTCTAAAATTTTGATAAAAGTAATAAAGAATTTACAACTTAAGTGATTGAAAGCGCTTGTTCCTGTATTCAAATTTCCTACCGCAATATTACTTGTATTAATGAATTAGAAACTCTGAGTCGCCCTTGATTCCATTTACTATGTTGTCTTTCTAGTCACTCATTCTATTCCATCAAAACCATCTTTGTCTTTTTCTTTCTCCTTTTCTTTTTTATATCACTTGCCAAACAAAGCATAAATTAAAATGCATTTAAATCATCTCTTGTTAATATACATCTCTCCAAAAGTCGAATACATAATTTGTAGTTAATCACACTAGGAAAATATGGATAACTACTAACCTAAATCACAGTTTTGCTTTTGCCAACAGCCCAAGTATTAGCGAAACTACTATTACAAGAAGCACTTTTGAGCTAACCTGCTTTTTATTTTCCCGGGAAAACCAAACGGAATAACCGCCGACTTCATGGTTGTGTACAATTACCATAAAACCCTCTCGCGGGTTCATTTTACCGAGCTAATTTTGCAATAAATCAAGGACAAATCGGACATTTACGAAGGTTCAAGAATCAAGAACCATATAGCCTTACACAACAAGCTTCTCGGTGCTTTCTTTCATTTCTTCTCATACAATCTTTCATACTCCTCATTTTCCCTCTCTCTCTCTCTCTCTCTCTCTCTCTCTCTCTCTCTAAAAACCCAAAATTTACAGAAAACAGAGCTTCTTCCAAAACCCCAATTACAGAGAAGCACCACTCTGTAATTTCCATGGCGAAAGCAAGAAACTTGAAGGCTTCCACATTCACCACAAACCCACCACCGCCGCCGCCATTCTTCCACCTACTTCCATTCACTCCGCTCACCGCCTTCCTCTTCTCCCCGAAAACCCTCCGCCACCGAAACCCGATGCTCTGCAGCAACAGCAAGCACCCATTAGCCGTCCCAATCTTCTACCTCTCCCTCCTATTTTCCATCACTTTCTTGGGAATTTCCTTTCTCACCCTCGTCCCCTCATACCCTCCTCTCCTCCCCTGTTCCCATTTCTCCTCTCCAACTCCTCCCACTTCTCCAGTTTCTGCCACCAATGGAGAGGAAGATAATGACCGGCCGAGCCTGTCAACCAGTGCAATGGTACCGCTGCCTGCTCGCGGGGCTTTCGGGAACCTTTCAGAGGCGGAAAGGGAGTTCTGGCAGCAGCCCAGAGGTGAAAATTACCGGCCCTGCTTGGATTTCAGCCTCGGGTATCGGAGAATCTCTCCCAGGATTTCTGAGGAGAAAAGGAGGTTCTTGGTGGTGGTGGCGTCAGGAGGTTTGAACCAGCAGAGGAATCAGATTGTTGATGCTGTCGTCATTGCAAGAATTCTTGGAGCTGCATTGGTTGTTCCAGTATTGCAGATCAATCTGATTTGGGGAGACGAAAGGTTTGCCATATGCGTTTTTTTTTTCTTAATTTTTAAATCATGTTTTGATGTTGTTCTTGGTCCGTTTTGGTCAATTTGGTTATGTTAAAACATGATTTCTAGATTCTGGTACCAAAATAGGACATTGATTTTGTTCGATTCTTCGTGTTTAGCAAGAAAGTCATTGTTTTCGCATAAAAAATAAGCATAAAACAAGCGGCTTTGGAATCATCTACTAGTATTTTAATAGGGGTTGATTCTGTCGAATGCTTGTGCTGATCGGTTTGTTTTTATTGAATTTGCAGTGAGTTCTCGGACATTTTCGATGTGGCACATTTCAAAAGGACTTTACAAGCTGATGTACGAGTTGTATCGTCTCTTCCCTCCACACATTTGATGTCAAGACA